TAAACTCAGTATGACTTCTTGATGGAGAGGTAGAATTACTTGAGCAAGATGAAAATTTGGCCCTGAAACCAGTTTAGTATTTTTAAAATCTGATGTGAATTTGCATGTGGACCAAGAGTCACTAAAGACATTCCTCAATGTTGCTACATGACAGAGCACAGGAGTTAAAGGTGAGTTTTAAGCTTAATCCTGGCCTAGATTAAAATCAATTTATTTAGAGTATTTCAGGCCTCTACAATCAAGTGTGAGCACAGGTCAGAGGTCAGGCATAGAGTAGGAAGTCAGGCTATTGGGGCTACCTTCTGTCTCCTTTTTAGACTTATGCCTCTATTCTCTTAGACATGGACAGTAATACATGTTCGCAGAATGTAGGCCACGACATTACTTGCCAGAGCTGTTGTAAGCTAGGATCTCAGTTCATAAAGATGACCCACCTGTCGAACAGGTGTTCCCCTTTGCCCCTGATTATAGCATGAAGACTCAGAGTTTATTATTTTTAACAAAATAGTAATCATTTCTTACATTTGAGTTATGCTTTACAACTTACAAAGCACTTTCATTTTCATTATCGCATGGACAAGGCCAAACAGGTCTGACAGCAGGGCAAATAAATAAAAGTGAGAACTGCTTTTTTTTTTTTTTAAGCCACTATGAGTACAAACACTGAAAATCCAAGAAGAGAATTGAAAATTAGAAACATAAACCTGTAACCATGACCAAAAAGGAGAGAAACACGTGGATCAAGAACCTACAAAGCAAAGCAGTATACAAATTGGAGCAATCAATATGAATCACAAGAAAACCAGAGCTACAGATCAAAATCTAAACCACACCAGCCAATTCTGAAATAGCCACTTATGTCTCTGAACATAGGAACAATGCAACTTCTCTGAGATAAATCACTGACACTCATTACCTACAAAGATTTAGTGAGCAGAGAGCCTGTTTTATTCAGGTAGCAAGGCATTATAAAAAAAAAGAAATCTTAATTCATGAAAAATGTTCATTCCTGCATTGTTTTTCTAATTTCTTCTAATTCTGATCCAACTTCAAAATGACATGTCTCTACCTCAGCACACCCACTCCATTCTACTCATCAACAACACTCACTGCATACAGCTGCATGTAGTGTTGTCCCTATAAAGCACTATGTAATGGTACATGACTGCTATTTTATTAAATATAATAATCTTTTGTTAACATAATAAAACATAAATACAATAATATAAAATACATACATTATACATTTATATTAACCTTATTTATATCTCTTAGCCTGCTTACTGGAATCAAGGGAAGACAGGAGGACCTTGTTGGACTAACTCATCTTTATAGACTCATTTACACAGCACAACAAAACAACAGATTAATAGTACACATTAGTTTACTTGCTTGTAATAATTATAAAGGGAGAATAAACTGCCCTACTTAACCCCTGATGGGGTCTCTGAGCACCACCAACTCACAATATGTTCATGCTAGGGTCCTCTGGCTCTTCATAATTCAAACTCAAAAGTCAAATTTAATTTAATCAGATTAAAATGAGAGACAGCTCAGGTTGGAAATTTACCAAAAATCAACTTATTTGATTATTACATAGGGTAATATTATTCAGAGTACATTCAATAAATGTAAACAGGTTTTAAGATGCAGTTAGTTGGTCCTTTAGCAATCTCTCTAACAAATGATAAGGGTATCAGTATTTGTCCATGGAACATTCTAATATTTTCAAGAGTTACTGATCCTGCTAAAGCTGGCTAAACATTTCCTTGCTAGTTTGTTTGAATGGTGTATAGCTTTGAAGTCCAGGAATCTATATATAAATTTAAAGGGTAAGGCAAAAATTAGGTTTATAGTTGTGTATGCAAAACAGAGTTTACTCTTATGTTATTCTTTATTATTGTATTACTAGAGGCCTGGTGCACAAATTCATGAATGGGTGGGGTCCCTCAGCCTGGCTGAAGATCAGAGCCAAGAGGCTGACTGGGGCAGCTGGCCAGGGGGAGGGACTGTGGGAGGTTGGCCAGCCATGGGAGGTTGGCTGTGGAGCACACTGACCACCAGGGGGCAGCTCCTGCATTGAGCATCTGCTCCCTGGTCATCAGTGCGGGTCATAACTGACATCTAGTCATAATGGTCGCTTGGGCTTTTATATACCGTATATAGATTTTCCCTATAAACCTACTTTTGTCCCACCATGTATATTTAACTGCTGGGAGACTCAGTTTCCTCATTTGTAAAAACCTCACCTCACAGAACTATTATGAGAATTAAATGAGATAATGTATATAAAAGAACCATGTTAGTGCCTGGCACACAGTGGGCAGACATTTGGTCAAACATAATTCTGGATGTTTGACCAAATAAGAGCGTTTCTGGATGAGATGAGCATCTGAATAGGTAGGTTAAATAAAATAGACTGTCCTCCCTAAAGTGGGTGTACCTCATCAAATCAAGTGACCTAAATAGAACAGAAAGTTTAGTAAGAGAGAACTCCTCATGCCTGGCTGATTAAACTAAGACATTGGTCTTCTCCTTCAGACTCCAACTGAAAAATTGACTCTTGGGACTATTGGAATTCAAACTGAAACTTATACCATTGAGTTTTGTAGTTCTCAGTCCTCATGACTCACAGTAGAACTACACCATTGTTGGGGACAGAAATAGAATAGTGGGGATTAATTATAATTAAAAGAAATATTAATCATGCTCTGTTAACCATGATTGTTCTGATTAGAGAAAGCACATTCCAACCTGGCTGAGAGTTGTACACCACAGGACATGAAAGTTAACCTCAGAACACAGTGCATTCGCCTTTTCCAAGAACTGCCTATTATCATAGAAAGATTAACATTCTTGTTGCCGAAACAATCTAGTCCCAGAGGCACCCACCCTTTGCAACACCCAGCCTCCATTGCCTATAACCTGGTCCTGGAGGTGCCTGCCCTTTGTGACCCTCTTCTGTAATCATTGGTCATTATAGTAGTTCACATTGCCTATAACCTATAACCAACATACTTTGCCTACTTCTTCATGCCTGTAATTCCTACTTACCCATATAATCTTTGTCCTTCTACCCAATATAAACAACTGCTTATGTGGAGGGGTAGAGCAGATTTTCATGGATGACCTGCTGCTCTCCTATACTGCAGGCATTATTGGAATAAACACTCATATATGATTCAACCCTGTTTCTGCTTAATCGGCTCAAATAGTGACAGGCAGCCCAGATCCATTGGTTGTCCGGTTTCACTATTAGCTCTCCTGGGTTTTCAGCTTTCCAACTATTGATCTTGGTACTTCTCAGCCTCCATAATCACATGAGCCAATATTTTATACTATATAAAGGATATGTATTTTTTATACAGGGTCTCCCAAAAAAATATATATACACTTTAACAGCTGACAGATCAACTTTGAAAATAAAATGTATTTTAATAAACATTGCTTTTATAATTATTTAAAGTGTGTGTATAGCTTTTTGGGATACCCTATATTTAATACATTTATTTATATATTTCATTATATATTTGATTTTAATATAATTGAGTTATTATATACTACATATATTCTTAATACTAATGAGTATTCATGAATATTTATAGATATTATTGCATTTACTATTGTATATTATATTACATTTATTTATTTTTGTTATGTGTTATATTTAAAATTTTTATTTATACTGTATTTATTTATAAATAAATTTCTTCATTTATATATGGTATACAGGGGTGGGCAAAAGAAGGTTTAAAGTATCCACTTTCATTGGTCATTGGTTAAATTACCAGCTATCATTACCTAAAAGATAAATAATAAGTAAAGATATGAAATAACAATGATAAAACAAATAATGCAATAATTAATAAATGAATAATAATGCAAGCATAAACTTAGTTTCACGTACTACCACTATAAACCTACTTTTGTTCCCCTACCCCTATATACTAATAAATCTCCTATTGGTTCTGTGTCTCTGGAAAACCCTGACTAACTAGTCATCTACGGCCACTGGACATCCAGACAAGAAGAATCTTCCCCCTTGGCCTCATACTTGAGAGAAGCCTGCAGATCACAAACAAAGAGAATAAAAATACATTTGTTAAAGAACATACTGGCCCCTCTATTGTTCATCACCCAGCATCCATTGTTGCCAAAACACAACCAGGAGCCCTAAACATCCACTCTCATAATCAACACTGATCAGACCTCAGGAAAGTCTCCACATTTCTCCCTACGCTCTCAGAACAAAAAGCAGCTGTGTTTGAATGCCATGAACATTTGTGGGCAGTGCTGCTGCTGACATTGATACTGACACTAGTTGAGAATGTGAAAAAAAATTGAGCATTGGAATTGCTTGGCTAAAAGAATAGACATATGAGTTATCTTGTCAAATCTTTCCTCCTCATAGATAGCTTGCATTCAATAGATTCTTGCATAACTTTGGTTTCCCAGCAGTGCTGAGCATTCTTTTCATGCTTTTCTTTGTGTCCCAATTCATGACTTCAGAGGGACTCATGAATAAACATGGTATTCACAGCAGTGGCACTGGGGTGACTAGGGAACATTTTGCAATATTCTACCATTCATATTACCCTTAAATTTATGAATTTATATAAATCTAGGTGTAACATTCATGCACTGAATCCTTAACTTATCAAGTGGATAGACAGTAAATGCTAAAATTAAAAATAATTCCATTTTCTTAAAAATAAGATTTAATTACATTTCAAACATTAAATTAAAATGTCAGTGTGATTTACACAACTTCAATTTTAAAAATTGATGCCATTAATTAGTTTATTTTTTGAATTTTATTGTAATACATACTTTTAAGTATTTTAGAAAAAAAGTAACTTTTGGAAGCATATATGAGAATAGTTTCACTTTTTTGTTTTATGTTCAATATGCTGTACATTTTTAGAAAAATATTTTACATTTTTATTATGATTATAATTTTTATTTCTTATACCACTACTGTCAATAGAAAACCTAATGTGTGAAAACCCTGATTATTACCTCATAAATTATTTTTGTTAAAATTAAAGAAAATAAAGCATTACTTAGCAAAACATCTCAATATATGACTGAGATATGCACGGTAACAATTAAATTCTGTCATCTTTGCTTTTCTGCCAACCTTCAGTCACATAATAAGAATAGCTTTAAACACATTTGTCAATTTTGCCATTAGGAAGGTATAATTGTCACCATATAGGGTAGACGTATTTTATGTACTAGTCTGATAGCTTGATTTACACCTAGAAAATACTTAGACATATGTTATGCAGGTCTCCATTTGCACTCTTGCCTTAGAACCCACAAATATGAAGGGGATGGCAATGTTCCCAATCCATTCAGGGTGCTAAGTAAGTAACCTTCAAGGGTGAGTGAGGTATAACTATGCACATTACATATGGCCACACAGACTTTTTGTTTTGTTTTATGTTCAAGAAGAAACATTAAATTTGGAGGCCATGAAAGTAAGGGAAAAATTCAGCCAATTAACTGGTGATTGAAATATCACACAAATGAATAGGAGAGAGGGAGGATGCTTAGGTATTCACTTTGAATGGTCAGCATCTTCTAGACTCCTCAGGCTGCCTCTGGGTGATGAAACACAAGGATTGTTTATTTTTTTAATTGAAAGTTTATATTTTTTACCACCTTCACTCATTTCTCCAACCCCTACTCCATGCCTCTGGCAATCACCATTCTCTGGATCTGAGTTTAGTTTTATTTATTTGTTTAGATTCCACATTTAAGTAAAATTGTATGGTATCTGTCTTTCTCTATCTTACTTATATCACTTAGCATAATGTCCTCAAGAGTAATCATGATTCTCTTCTATTTTATGGCTGCATAATACTCCATTGTATGGAGATCTATCTATCTACTGTAGATTTATATATGTCAAACTTTCTTTATTCATTCATTCATCGATGGACATTTGGGTAATTTCTATTTCTTTCTTCAGGTAAATACCCAGAAGTGAAATTGTTGGATCATATGATAGCTTTACTTTTAATTTTTTGAGGGAACTCCATACTATTTCCCATAGTGGCAGTATCAATTAACATTCCTATCAACAGTGCCCCAGGGTTCCCTTTTCTCCACATCCTTACCAATGCTTGCTATTTTTTGTCTTTTTGTTACAGCTACTTTCCCTGGTGTGAGGTAATATCTCATTGTGGTTTTAAATTGCATTTCTCTGATAATTAGTGATGTTGAACACCTTTTCACCTACCTATTGCCCATCTGTACATCTGTATGTCTTTGGAAAAATGTCTATGCCATTTTTTAATTAGATTGTCAGAAGTTTTGTTTGCTTGCTTGCTTTTTGGTATTGAGTTTCATGAGCTCTATATATATTTTGGATATTAACCTCTTATCAAATATTTGATTTGTAAATATTTTCTCCCATTCTGTAGGTTACTTTTTAATTTTGTTGATGGCTTCTTTTGTTGTGCAGAAACTTTTTAGTTTGATGTAGTCCCACTTGCTTATTTTGCTTATGTTGCCTTTGTTTTGGTGTCAAATAAAAAAAATCATCAATGCCAAGAAGCTAACTGCTTATGTTTTTCTTCTAAGACTTTTATGTTTTTAGGTCTTATGTACAAGCCTTGAATACACTTGGAGTTAATTTTTGTGTATGAGTAAGATAGTAGTCCAGTTTCATTCTTTTCCCTTTGCCATCCATTTTTCCTAAGGTCATTTATTGAAAAGGCTGTTTGGTTCCCATTGTATATTCTTGGTTCCTCTGACATAATTTAATCTACTATATGTATATTAATTTATTTCTGGGCTCTATATTCTGTTCCATTGATCTATATGTCTATTTTTATGCCAATACTGTACTGTTTCATTACTACAGCTTTGTAATATAGCTTGAAATCAGGTTGCATGAAACTTTTAGCTTTGTTCTTCTTTCTCAAGACTGTTATGGCTACTTGGTGTCTTTTGTAGGGCAGTCATGGTCTTGACAAAATACAATAATTTCCTCTTCTGTTTATCCAAGTGACTTGGATGTCCCTGACACATCTAGAATAAATATAACACAGCATCTGATAGAGCTCTGCACTCCTAGCACCTCAAATGAAAAGTTAGGGCAACCTCTCTCCAGTTTTTCTTCTGGTGGGAATCAGCCTCCTCTAGCTAGAATCAGCCGCTGTCAAAGCAAAGCCTTTGGTGAACTGGAGTCTCATCTCAGCAGCAGCCTCAGCAACTTGGCCACTGAACTTTTGACTACTTGAGTTTGTCACTGAATTTGAGATCTTGAAAAAGATCCTTGAATTCTTTACTCCTCCATTTCCCCATCTTTATTATGTAAATAGACCATCTGTGTTTCTTTAATGATTCACAGAAGAAGGCTTGTGCAAAAGAAACTCTCCTTATTAGATATAGTGTTGTTTGATCTAGTAAGAGACTGCCTCCAATGGTACAGTAGGACATATGGATGGGTTTCAGAAGAAAGAAAAGAATAGTTTAATGTTTAAAGGAGATGAAGAACAAGTCTTCATTGGGACTACTGAAATGATGGAGTAAACTGGCGCCCTAGCCATGAATGGCCCTAGAAGTAAATGTTTTGGGTGTGTGGGTTTTTTTGGTTTTGTTTTTTTGTTGTTGTTTTTTGGGGGGGAACCCATTTATATGCCATTACTTTTTTCCTTTATGGTACAGGAATGTGCATTCCTAACCACTCTTCCTTATGCACACTTGGTACCCATATTCTAGAGACCTTTGCTAGAAAAATGGTGTAATTAACATACTAATTCATTGGTAATTACTATGAAGTAAATTTACTTTCCCTTTTAAAGTTACCTTCTGATGGCACAATGATTTAACTCAAAGTAATGACCAATACAAATGAGGGATGACTTTGGCCATCCCCACTCATATAATGTATAAGATCACTGAAGGATCATCCATTCCTGGACTTACATTCTGGAGGGAAAGAGAGCTCCAAAGGTCTGACAGAACTGTATACTTTCAAAGCAAAAGTGTGCTCCTTACTTCAGTGAATTCTCAGAACAATCAAGGTAAGTGAGTATTATTGTTAGCATTCCTAGTTGACAGAAGAGATGGAACCTTATAGTTTTCCCAAGACATCAGTCAGTACATAGTGAAATCTTGTTGTGGACATAAGCCAGTTATACCCAAAAGACACTAACCACTGTGCATAACACTTCTTCAAAGGGAAAGTGCCCTGAGAAAGCAGACCCATATATACAAGCACCCTTTGACAACTTTTCCTTAGTAAAATTCTTAAAGACTGCAGAGCTGCTATTGAGGTCTAAGTTCTATATTACCCTTCTGTTCTGCTTTTACCACCTGGATTTATGAACTACAGGCAGAGGAGGAAAGCTAATCCCAATTGTGACTTTTTACACCCGTTGCCTCTAATAGTTCACCCTTGCTCAATGGCTCTGTCTTTGTGGGGGAACCATAACAGGAGATGGAGAGGACACGGAAGGCAGAAAAAGAGGAATTGCAGTTGAGAGCAACAAGAAAACAGCAAATGCAATTCTTCACCTCCAATGCCTTTGGACACTTCCCTCTCTTGGCAAAACAAGGCCTACAGCATAGACTTCTCTCTTCTGGGAGCTTATTCTTGATAATGGCTCCATAGTGCTCTGTGGGGCTTTTAAACTTGGCAATGTCCTGGGTAATGTCCCTCAGTCTTCTTCTCATCTCTGTGAGTGTGAGAGACAGAGATTAGTTTTCATCTTATTTGACAGGCAGGCAACTGAAGACTCAGAGTTGTTATGTGCCTTGCCTAAGATCACACAGCTAGTAACTAGAAAAAAATGAAGATTAAACCCAGATTTCCTGACTGCCAGACCAGGATTCTTTCCAATCACCCCTGCAGCTTCTTAAAAACCATATGGCTCCACATTCCACTCCTATGTATTTACCCAATAGAAAAGAAAATGTATATTACCCATACAAAGACTTGTACACAAATGTCATGACCAAAACTGGAAATGTCCCAAATATCCATCCCAAGGTGACCAAATATACAATTGTATATGCATACATTTACTTCTCAGCTATAAAAAGTGAGAACTATTGAACACACAACATGGATGAATCTCAAAATAACTATGCTGAATAAAAATAGTCAGACAAAAAGAGCCCATTTTGCATGATTCCACTTATATAAAACTCTAGAAAGTGCAAACTAATCTTTAGTGACAGAGAGCAAGCAGATCAGTGGTTGCTTGGGGATGGCAGAGGGGACCAGAGGGACAGAAACCAAGGATTACAAAGGAACAGAAAACTTCTGAGGAGTGGACATGTTCACTCACTTCACGGTGGTGATGGTCTCACAGATGTGTGCACTTACCAAAATGTATCACATTTACACTTTAAATGTGTAGTTTATTGTATTTCAGCCATAACTTAATGTTATTTTTTTAAATGATATGGCTTGATTTGGACTTAGAATGTGACAGTTCAACCATCCCTCACCCCACCTAACCCCCAAAGATGCTCTCTTTCCTTAAGCTTTGGTCTATAGCAAGGCCATTGCTGATGGGATGGTGAAGGGGATCTGACTAATTCTGATGAACAATTACTATACTCACAATATTGGTCTTTTCCTCCTCTTTATTAATACAAATTTAGGGTGAGAGTGGATTCCCTCCAGGCAGAGGATTTTCTTTTTTTTTGCTGTGGGGGGATCACTTATTAAAGCAAACAGAAGCATTTATCATTATTCTTCCTATTAAATAAGCTTAGTAAACATTTGGACTAGCCTTGCAGATTTAAGACAGATGTTTCCATTGTAGAGGGATGAAAAATGCAGAGAGAAAGGAGAGAACCAAAAATGAAGCAAGGGGGAAGGGGGACCTCTGGGATACTGGAGACAGCAGAGGCAGGACTGAAGCCTTAATGCAAAGGCCCTCCTAAATTAGCAAGCAGATTGCTGGGCTACGGGTCAGCCGCTACATCTCTGCATGGTCCTGCTGGTCAGGAACCCAACTGTCCAGGAATTCTGGGACTTTTGTGCTTGTCGACTTAAGAAGCACAAATGACCCTCTTTGCCTGAGATGCGAAGGGGGACCAACTCTTTTCCCTACAAGTCCTAGAGACCTTTCCCATCCCTCCCCATGAAAGTCAACTGAATTACAGATGGGCTGCCCCACATTCTTTACCAGCTCAGGGACAAACATGCAGTTTGAGACATGGAGGGGGAAACACTGAAATTGGGTTGTCCAGAAGTATGCATGGCCCTAGCCTGTTTGGCTCAGTTGATAAAGTGTCCACCTGTGGACTGAAGGTTCCCAGGTTGGATTCAAGGGCACATACCTCAGTTGCAGGTTCCTCCTTGGCGCAGGCCCTAGTCAGGGCACTTGCAGGAGGCAACCAATTGATGTTTCTCTCTCGTATCAATATTTCTCTGCACATAGATGTTTCTCTCTATCTTTACCTCTCTCTTCAATCTCTCTAAAAATCAATGGAAAAATATCCTTGGGTGAGGAAGGAAGAAGAAGAAGGAGGGGAAGGAAGAGGGGAAGGAGGAGGGAAATGGGGAGGGAAAAGGGGAAGAAGGAGAGAGATGGGGAAGGGAAGGGAGAGAAGGAGGAGGAGGAGGAGGCATGGCCTCAGGGTTGGAAGAAAGTTTTCTGCCCTGTATCTGACTGAAGGAATAACTGGTTTAAAACTGGTGGATTCCCTCTGAAGAGATGCCAAGACTCTGTCCTGGAACTGTCTCCACTTGAAGAGGGGGTGTAGCTCCTGAGACAATGGGAGTCTGTGGCCAGGAGCCATTTCATGGCTGCTAAGGGCTTGCCTGGAAAAGCTATCTGCCACTGAAGGCCTGATGTAGAGAAAGCTTCCTGCCTATCAGAGACACTTCAAACAGCAGGAAAGGGGCTCTGATAACACGGGCACGGTGAACCTGGGGGACCAATGTTGCCAGCATCACTGATATCAAAGTAATCTCTTAGGAGAGCCAGATTGCTTGTTAAAATGTAGACACTCACTAAATCAGCATCCCCACGGACTGAGCATGCACATTTGAACAGGCTCCCCCATCACTGCTCTCCCAGCTTAGAAGGCTGGGAGCCTGAGTCTCTCTCAGGAGCCGTTCACCACTGACCTTCCTCGGTTCACAGGGAGGGAAGGGAACCTCCCACAAAATAATCAAGACCTTTCCTGCAGTGAACATTTCTCAGGAAAAGTTTCCCCTGCCTACATATTGCATGTCCCAGGGATAAAGGGGGAGAAACCATCCCTTTCAGTTACTTGCTGACCTGTTGAAAGACATATAGGAAAGCCAGCAGGCAGGAGGCCATGGCGTGCTCTGTGTGAGTCAAGCACCGCACAGGGCCTGGTCTTCTCATCTGATGCAATCCAGCTTCATTCTCATAACAACCTGTGTGGGCTGAGGTCATTACTCCCGTTTCATGGGAGAGTCTAACACTCCTGCCGCCTGTTCATTTCTCTTGACCAAGCAAGCCTTGCTTCTCCATATAGAGACTGCTGCATCACAAAGGCTTGGGACACCAGAATATCTTTAAGGAAGGTGAATTCTTTGGGATCCAGAGAGCACAATCCTGTTCCTTCCCCCAACACCTCCTCCTCAAAAATCATCCCATCTTTCCTGATTCCAAATACCTGGCTTGGCTTCCAACAACCCTGCTGGCAATATTTTGGGCTAAACGGTTCTCCCCAGCCAAGGACATGCTGCAACCCACACACAGCCCAGACCTCTGGGGTGAAGAAGAGACCTGGGAAAGAAGAAAGTCACACCTGTAACTGAGTCATGTCAATATGGAACATGGCAGGACAAACATAGCCTGTCCAGTCATGTCTCCCAGGCTCTGAGGCTGGTGTTTCCAAAATGTGTGTCATGCTGTTTTCAACCAGGTAGGCCTAGTTGTCTTGGCTGCATGTCTCAATGTGAGCCCCACCTCTGGCCCCACAGGGCGGCCTGCTCCTTGCCAGGTAGCACATATAGTCCAATGCTTTCATTTCTCAGAAACAGTTGGGCCTGGGCCCAAGGACCTGGTGACCATAGCCCCGATGTGGCTAAAGAGAAACCTAAACTGGAGGCATGGAGATTCCTCCACTTGTCCTCTATGCGGTGTCTCCATCTCCAAAATGGGAATTAAGTGTCTTCATTTGGATTCCTCCAAAAGCAGACCCCAAGAGAAGGATTTGGGCTTAGGTACTTTATTTTGAGAGGTGACACCAGGAAATACAAACGCAGGAGGGAAGGAAATGTGACAAGAACAGGAAAACAGTCAGGAAATGAATTAGTTATTGTGGTAGGGAACCTTCTTAGAACCCAAGTGTATAATGTATACCAGAACTGTCCCACTAAAGCACATGTGTCAAACACAAGGCCCGAGGGCCAAATCCGTCCCGCCAGGCCTTGCAATGTGGCCCGCACCGCGCTGTCATCACTGCACTCTGCTGCGATTCCATCACAATGACAGCTTATGACTGTTCAGTAAACCATTCGGCCCGCGATTTAGGCTGGATTTTAGATTTTGGCCCCTTCTCTGATTGAGTTCGACACCCCTACTAAAGGATGAAGAACTTGGGTATGTTCCAGTAACTCTGCTTCTGGGAATATTAAACCCCTATACTTCTGAGCTACCTTACATGTGGGTAGAATAAGCTATCACACAGGAGAAAAACCCAACAGGGAAGCTGAGAAATATGGGAGCTTGAGTTGGGAAGCTGTCAGTGGGCTTAGGAATATCCACTGTACCTATAGGTGACATCAGAGTTGGGGTCAGAGAGATGGTTGGGGTACCAATAGTGTCTGCTAACTTATCTTCCCCAGAGGGTGAGTTAAATGAGCTAATGTATAAAAAACCCTTGCTACTGTGGCACATAAGCACATTGTAGGAAAACGCATTTTTTGTTATTATTATCATCATTTTATCATATCATTACCATTATAGTTATTAACTATGTGGGATTCACAGCACACTCCTTCCTAGGCTCTCCTTACCGGATTGGGAATACAGATGCTTCCCTCCTACCTAGACTGAGACTGAAAATTCCTTGGGACCAATGGCTGGTCAGGTCAAGGTATAGGTAAATAAAAGGGTAGCTGGGCATATAGCCCTATGGTACTGGTTCTGAGGATGGTCAACCCACGACAGCACACACTTCCCCCAGAGCCTGCTGCCTGGCTGAGAATCCACCCTACCTGCTCTGTGAGGTCATCCTAACCTGGACAGGAGGAGCCTGGACTAAATTCCCTTGTGATCTCTTGGTACTCACATCCTCAAATGTCCAAAGCATTCTCACTTTATCTTCTGCTATTCCAGGTCCACGGCTAGAACTTTCCAGCCAAACAATGTGGAAATCCAGCCAGGCAAATGCAGTGGGCCTCCATATGGAACTCATGATCATGAAATACACACTAAACCTGTGGCCCAGTCATAGACAATGACTGTGTTACCTGAATGACCTTCATTTAGGAAGAACAGAACATAGCATAGCTTTAGTCAATGGGCAGCCAATTATTCCACTTTATAGATGAAAAAAACTGACACTAATAAAAGGGATCCAAGATCATTTAGCTGGTCCTAATTTTGCTAATTCATTCATTCAGTAGACAGAAATCAAGTACCTACTATATTTAAGGGGCTTTTCAGGTGCTAGAACACAGACAGAAACAAGACACACAAGTTCCCCCAATCTTATGGTGCCCACATTCTCCTGCAGATGATAGACAGTAAACACATAATTAAAGAGTACGTTTCAGATAATGATTTGTATTATGAAGAAACTAAATCAGGCTAAGGAGGTAGAAAGTAAAGTTGTAGGGAAAAACTTGTTTAGAACATGACGTGTGATGAGAAACGAAGATCCAGGGAAGATCTGGAGGAAGAGCACCAGAGATGAGCAAATGGCAGGTGAGAGGGCCCTGAGGCAGAAAGGCCCTGGCATGCAGAGAAATGGCACAGGGCCAGTCTGCCTGCAGCACAGCGGGCAGGGGGCGGAGTCCACCCAGGAGGAAGGCGGAGCACCAGGGTTCCCATGCAAGGAGGCCAATCCATCTCATGGGGCGCATCAGAAAGGAATCCCCATACAGCTGCTTGTAATCATCTCTGGAAATAAGAAGTAAGATTCTCAACAAAGAGAAAGGAGAAGTGTTAGCATTTTGAAGGGAGAGGGATTGGAAATAGTTTGAAGGGAAAGAAGGCAGGTAAATTCAAAGGGAATGTGGTAAGATTGAGGTACTGAGGTGTATTGTCATAAAGTCAGCATAGTGTGTAATTTCTGAAAGCATATTTAGCTACTTGGTGTGGGTAGGCAGATAGTTGGAGTTTTGACAGAAGTTGTTAATGGAAAGGAAGTAGGTAAGAAGGCTCAACACACATAGGATACATGTTTGTATCAATAACCATGAATCTAAGGAGAGCAATAGACATTGAACAAGCGGTAGAAAACATGGATTGAAGGTTCTTTTGGGACTGAAGAGTATTGAAGGGGGTGCTAACAACACCATTATAAAGTGTTCAGAATGGGGAGGCTTGAAATCAAGAGTTTAGAGGAGAACAGTTATAGGTACTGATGGGGACCTAGGGTATAACCAAGGAAATGGGAGGCACCTATTAACAGGTCAGTGAGTGTTCCAGGGATATTGTGGACGCATAAGACATAATGTCTGATCCTCATAAATATAAAATGCTTGTCACAAGACACACCCTTGTTTTGTAAATAAGGACACTGAGGCTCAAAAAGAAATAGTCACTTGCCCAGAGCCCTATAGCTAAAGTGAGGCAAATCCAAATCCCCTGCTTCTGCCTTCTGATTCCTGGCCCAGCTCCTCCCTTGTTTTTTATTTATTTATTTATTTATTATTTTTTTATTGATCTTCATATGAGGATAATTTTCCATTGATTTTTAGAGAGTGGAAGAGAAGGAAGGGGAGAAGGATAGAGAGAGAGAGATGAAGAGAGAGAGAGAGAGAGAGAGAGAGAGAGAGAGAGAGAGAGAGAGAGAAAGAGAGAGAGAAAGAGAGAGAGAGAGAAACATCAATGTGAGAGAGACACATCGATTGCTAGCTTCCCGCATGTGCCTCAACCGGGGCTGGGGATTGAACCTGCAACTCAAGTACATTACCTTGACAGGAAATTGAACCCCAAACCCCTCGGTACATGGGATGAAACTCTCACCACTGAGCTACCTTGGCCAGAGCCCAGCTCTCTTTCAACTGAACCACAAAGTCTGACATGGTATCATCAGGTCAGGCTGCTTGGGTTCAAACCAGGTTCCCCACTTACTGCTAAATGCCCTTGAACCTATTCTCACCATGCCCCAGATTTGCCCCCTTCCTAGGAGGGATAATATAGCACCTATCTCAAAGGGTGATCTGAAAAATAAAATAAAACTTGAAAAAAGTACTTAAAGCCTTGCTCAGTATACAGTAAGTGCTCAGTAACTGTCAGATGTTACTATAATAAAGTATAAAGTTTTCTGATACCCGCTATAAGCATTGCTATCTCCCCACTCTCTGATGCTCTGATGGAAAATGGGAAGCAATGCCACTTGCCATTGAGGTGCTGAGGTTTATCCTCATAAAGTCAGCATAGTGTGTAATTTCTGCAAGCACTTTTAGTTACTTGGTATGGTACACCCTTGTTGTACCTCTGTAGAGGCTTCATGGACCAATGGGGACTTGAGCAGGTGTTGAAGAGTGACCAGAGATTCTCAAATGTAGGTTCATGGCAGGGTGCAAGGAGCACTTGTCTTATGGATAACATCATGAGCAAAAACCTAGAAGCGGGGGGGGGGGGGGGGGGGGGGGGGGTGTTTGATTCGACATAGTCTTGATACAGTAAGGAAACCAGACATCCAAGAAAGGATGGGCCCTAAAAGACCCAGGTATGGGAGAGAAAAATTATTAGTCCAAGGACAAGAATGTTCTCAAATTTCTCTCCTCTTTGGGAAGCTTCCACAGAAATAGAAAGTAATACCTTTTGCCCTTCCTACTCCCCTGTTCTTCTCTTTTGGTGCCCTCTGTAGAGCAGAGGGTCATTCTACATAAACACTGAGCCCAAAAGAATCCATCAAATGGTCTCCTAATGAACTGAGTCCATCAGAAGTTACAGAAGCATCAAGGCAACTGGGGCAGGAGCTGTTCATCTCAAGTTGAAGTGACATCCACTTTAATGCCCTGTGCATTCTCCAAACCCCAAGTCTGGGTGATGAAGAAAAATGCCATGGGGAAATAATGTTGGATTTAACTTCAATGAGAATAAGAAGACCCTGAATGATAGCAGACACTCTGTACTTAACTGACCCTATTATGAGCAGCTATTGAAGAATTTTCAGGATAATGAGCTATCTCATCTTCCATGTAACAAGCTGTGGGTGGATTGCTCAGACATTATAGTCTGAAAATGGCCCCACAGATATCAATGGTCCCCATAATTATAAAAAATCACAATTATTATTGGGCTACTTCTTGAACCAGGCTTTCTCTCATCAGGGTTCTTGGGGTTCATAAAGGCACAGATAAGGGGGTGTTTATCCAACCAACCATACACTCCCAATCCTGCCCACCCTGGAACTGAGCCATGTAGGTAAAATTTGTCTCCCACAACTCCACCTTTTTTGGTATTCTCCACACCTTCAGTAAGGAGCCCACACAAACTACATCCTCCCCAGGAATGAGCCCCAAACAGCCATCCCTGATATAACAGTTATTTGTTTATTTCTGAAAAACCATTTATGGAACATCTTTTATGTGTTTAAAACTGAACTAGACAACTATAGTCCCTGTCCTCCTAAAGCCAGCATGTAAGACAGATGCTA